TTGTTGATGTGAGATATAAATAACATTGGGAGATTGGACCAGATTGTTGATGTGAGATATAAATAACATTGGGAGATTGGACCATTTTGTTGATGTGAGATATAAATAACATTGGGAGATTGGACCAGATTGTTGATGTGAGATATAAATAACATTGGGAGATTGGACCATTTTGTTGATGTGAGATATAAATAACATTGGGAGATTGGACCATTTTGTTGATGTGATATATAAATAACATTGGGAGATTGGACCAGATTGTTGATGTGATATATAAATAACATTGGGAGGTTGGACCATTTTGTTGATGTGAGATATAAATAACATTGGGAGATTGGACCAGATTTGTTATGTGATATATAAATAACATTGGGAGGTTGCACCAGATTGTTGATGTGAGATATAAATAACATTGGGAGATTGGACCAGATTGTTGATGTGAGATATAAGTAACATTGGGAGGTTGCACCAGATTGTTGAGTTGAGGTGAGATATAAAGAAAATTCGGCGAGTAACTGAAAAGATAAGTCACCTATTGTGTGGGAATGTAAGGGAACATTAATTGCTATGTTAAATTTCAAATATGGGTTTTTTAAAAACGAAATTCTATGTTTATGTTGAATTCATTGAAAGCACCACTGGAAACAAATAAAATCAAACTAAATGTCATACAAATTTTAAAACCATTGTAAGTAACACATTTCTACAACTCATTTACGTTTAAAATAGCAAACTCTCACCCTATTTTTAAAGACTTTCGTTCTACTTTCATTTCCATCTATTGTGTCGAGCTTTATTTTTTTTTTGTTTACACCTGTGACTGAGTGAACTTGCTTGCCGTCTCGCGGTCAAATGTAAGTTAGCATCTCAGTTGTGTCCACACCACATCTACTTTCTGGTGGTTTCATGTCCACACCACTCTACTTTCTAGTCGTTTCATGTCCACACCACATCTACTTTCTAGTGGTTTCATGCCCACACCACATCTACTTTCTAGTGGTTTCATGTCCACACCACATCTACTTTCTAGTGGTTTCAACTTGGCTTTGGTAGAAAGTCTTTTTTTTTTTTTAAAAGTTTTAAAATATCTTTTTTTAATACATTTTTGTGTGTTACATAACCATGAAATATCATTTGCTTCCTCAGACCAATCCCTGAGAGAGAGTTTGTGGAGGCTTACATCAAAGCTTACTACCTGCCCGAGTCTCAGCTTGAAGGATGGGTGCATGACCACAAGGTGATTGAAAGCATCTGATACTGAAGATGAGGAAACTCCCCAAAATGGGCTCTTATTCTGTTAATGGAAAAACCCCAATCAAATTGTTATTATAGTATAAGCTGACACTTCCCGTGTATGAAGAGTATCTTTAAAACAAAACCCTAACTTTTTGTTTGGAGAACGCCCTAACTTGCCATGTCCACTTATATTTGGGATCTGGTCATCTCGTTCCATTATATTTTTAATGATACAATACCAATGAAACCAAATAAACATTTATTAAAAAGATTAAATGTAAAAATATTTTAAATCATAATAATATTTAAAATCAACCGTTATACGGATATAACAATGCTATTATCCCGCCAAGGGGCGCTACCGGTACTTACATTTCTGGCTATGCCCAGACATGATGCGCACTCAGTCGTTGAAAGCCAGTCTGTCAAGTAGATTTGGTTTCATAGGCTTTAGCATATATAGTTTAATTTTTTTTTTGTATGTGTGACATAAGGATCATAGCACACTCACAACCCCTAACTTATGGTAGTATTTTTTGTCCCCAAATTTTTTCTTCACAACACAAGGTAATATACGGTACGGTTTTTAATATAAAAATAGTAAAATAAACCATACCACCAGCCGATGGCTGTATTTCTGTTTCTCCATTACAGGAATATTCCAACAGACAACTCTTGGCCCTGGTTACCTCAGTAGATCACTTAGGTCGGAAGTCTCGGCAAAAACTCATCAGCATGGTGGAGGAAATGGAAAAGGCGCGGAGAACATGATGGGAAATAACCAGTTATTTACAACCCACAAATAATTACTTTTATGTACCGCAATGTCATGAGATGAAATAAATGTTGTGACGACATGGCGGCAGTTATATTCCAGCCCAGAGTAGGCAAATGTGTAGCCAACAGGGAATATTCTTGTTGGGGTACTTGTGACTTAGGTGAATCTGTTGTGCAATATTCCTAAATGGACTTGAGTCGAAGTCAGTGATGAGAGTTCAATTTGGAGAAATAGTCGTTTTGCTTTTTATTTTTAGAAATGGAATAATATCAAACTTGGATTATTTCATAAGATCTTTTAATTTGAGACATAATATGAAGGTTTAGCTTTCAACAAATTGTTTGTGATGAACACATCAATAATGGATCAACCCTGTCAAATATCATTTCTTGATTGCATGTTGTTTTTAAAAAAAATCTATTTACTTGATGGGAGTCCATTATCAAGTAATATTTCAATCCTTTGTTGGCATATAGTTGAAACATTGATAGGTTATTTAAATCTTTTGTTCTGCTGTGTTACTTTTTCTCTGCCCACATTTGTGTTTTGTTAACAGCCATTTCATCAAAGGAATGCTGTGAGTGCACATAACTTTTAAAAATGTATTTAATTATTTGGAACAGTATTTTAAAATACAGAAGACTGTAGCAGTTTTTTTTTTCTGCCTGTTGGAAGTGTGAGTCGGGCTAATCAGCTCTCATGTCAATTTTTATGGAATCTGTTTTGACATATTTATAAATTGTAATAATATATGGAGTATTCACATCAGTGCTGTATGGTGTCTATTATGAGCTACTGCACATAGTTGTTCTGTAGAAATCTGCCTAATGACGTAATTTGAATATTCAATACGAGGTCAACCTACATTTGTGATAAGAGACTCAGAAAGAAGACCATCTTTCACCTCCAGTTGGTCATGATTATTTGCACTAAGAGCTATTTATACAGTAGCACCTCGCAATAATGGCGCTCTTAAATCTCCGTCCGTGATCCTCGAAATAAAAATATTTGTATTTAAAATTGTATATTTCAATTCCTTTCTCAGTTGAAAATCATCTACAGTATGTACTAAATATAGAATTAAAGGTAAACATTGTGTAGACGTCCCTTTCTATCATTGTTTTATTGTTAGTTTTATTGCACACTCAATAAATATGAGTACATAGTACGTAGCTTTGCTTGCAGGCACTGGCGGAGCACAAAAAAGTCTTTCCTCATTTACGGCATTTTTCACTTAACGAGGAGGGTCCGGTCCCAATGACACCATTATTGTGAGGTACCGCTGTATTTGAATGTCAGATATAAAGGAAAAAATCTAGCACGGAACTAATTCTGAAGCAATTTCTTTTTAAAATGTAATAATTGAGTGTATGCAATAATGTGAATTTATGGAGAATAATTTTTTGTTTGGATTTGTGACAGAAGGATCTTACTTTTCAGGCACAAAGCTAGACTGATTTGTGAGTTAAATTAAAGGCTGTGTTCAAAAATCAGGAGGGCACCTTTGGCTTCCTAAACATAGACTTGAGAATTAATGAATTACTTACGTAGACTTGGTGATTTTGTTTTTAAAAATCAACTTGTACGTCAACTTGTTCTCTTAAGAACCGCTTCATTTTATTTGTGATCTTAGTGTAATGATATGAAGTTTTCAGTCCATTTAGTTTGTGTCTTGTTCCTGCTGCTGTGTGTCATAATGGTGACACATCAGCTTACTACATTCCTCCTTGTGTTATAGTGGATCATGGTATATCCTTGTTTTATAGTGGATCATGGTATATTTAAGTTAAATATGTGTATGGTGAGAGAGCAGATCAAGATTGTATGAAATGTATCTGAAGGAAGACATGTGTATAGTTATTATAAATAGACCAAGTACTCATAATAATGAAATGCAAATAATTAAAACTCTATCACAAACTCCCGTTAATGTGTTCATTACGGATATGTGTTCATTACGGATTTGTGTTGGTTGATTACAAAGAAAATTTTTCATATATTACTTTTGTTCAGTTGGAATAGTTGATAAATCGCTATTTATTTTGTAAGGCGGAAAAAACAACAAAAATGTAGAACATCAGACAACAAATGAATTACAAAATAACAATCAACTGTAACAATCAACTATAAAAATCAACAGTAACAATCTAACTATAAAAATCAACAGTAACAATCAACTATAAAAATCAACAGTAACAATCAACTATAAAAATCAACAGTAACAATCAACTATAAAAATCAACAGTAACAATCAACTATAAAAATCAACTGTAACAATCAACTATAGTTCAAGGGATTTATTAGGGTTACAGATTATTTTATGCTGAGGGCAGTCTTTTATGTTAATACCGATAACACATTTTTAAAATTGAATTATTTGCCCGATTCATTTCCAGTATTTCAGTTGCTTTGATTATTTTAGTACTTAACATTTTGAAAAAAATAAAACTGAAATGCCCGTGTGGACACAGTGCTGCTCAGCCCGAGTGACCAGAGTGCTGCTCAGCCCGAGTGACCACAGTGCTGCTCAGCCCGAGTGACCACAGTGCTGCTCAGCCCGAGTGACCACAGTGCTGCTCAGCCCGAGTGACCTGAGTGCTGCTCACTTCCCAGTATGATACTTCCATACAAGAAACGGTAAGATTAAATACCATATTTCCTAAGATCTTAAAAGACAATATTTCCTAAGATCTTACAAGACATTATTTCCTAAGATCTTACAAGACCATATTTCCTAAGATCTTACAAGACATTATTTCCTAAGATCTTACAAGACCATATTTCCTAAGATCTTACAAGACCATATTTCCTAAGATCTTACAAGACCATATTTCCTAAGATCTTACAAGACCATATTTCCTAAGATCTTACAAGACCATATTTCCTAAGATCTTACAAGACCATATTTCCTAAGATCTTACAAGACCATATTTCCTAAGATCTTACAAGACCATATTTCCTAAGATCTTACAAGACCATATTTCCTAAGATCTTACAAGACCATATTTCCTAAGATCTTACAAGACAATATTTCCTAAGATCTTACAAGACCATATTTCCTAAGATCTTACAAGACAATATTTCCTAAGATCTTACAAGACCATATTTCCTAAGATCTTACAAAACAATGTTCAAACCAGATCTAAAGCGTAGCCAGCCTACGTTGTATGTTATGTGGGGTATGTAGCATTTACAGCCCATGATGAGCTCTGTTGCAATGTTTATGCCAGGCCTTCGCACCCAGTGTGCTGCACACACACAATGTGCTGCACACACACAATGTGCTGCGAGAGTATGCTAGGTGCCCCGCAGCAAAATTCCTCCAAGCGGATGTAAAAAAAAGTTTCTGAAGTCACCAGTAAAATATGTCTCTGTTGTTTTAGACTTTTATCGCAGCTTTTCATCCCAGTGCTGTGTAATGTTTGGACTTGGTGTTCATTAAAAAATTTTCACACTTCTGAGGTAACACTTCTGAGGTAAGATTTCATCGCCCAAAAATGAAAACAAACACAACACAAGTCAAAAAAAACGAAATATCTTTTATCTGCTTTGTTTGACCCTGTCGAAAATGCAACTTTCTTGCAACAATTTTTAAAAAAAAACTTTTAATCACTGGTATTATTTATTTTATTCTTGTTTTTGGGGGGGCTGCTAGTATCATTTTTTGCATTGAAATAAACATTTCAACTTAACACATGAATGTCATTAGTAAGTGAGTGGTCGCTGCACTTTTTATTTTTTTATTTGCACCAAACACTATTTAAATTGTGTGTTTCTTTGAAATAAATCAGTAGACATACCCGGTACATATTATTTTTACATTAATTATAAACTTACCAATTAAAAGGGGATACAAGAAATGTAAAAAAAAAAAAAAAAGAAAAGATATTGAGCAACTCTTCCTCACGATAAACAAAATACAGCTCAAGTCAAGGCTACAACTCAAGTTGAATAGTGCCTTGGTCATCTTCGTGTGTGAAGTAATAATAAAATTACAAAATAAAAGGGGATAAAAAAAATGTAAAAAAAAAAAAAAAGAAAAGATATTGAGCAACTCTTCCTCACGATAAACAAAATACAGCTCAAGTCAAGGCTACAACTCAAGTTGAATAGTGCCTTGGTCATCTTCGTGTGTGAAGAATGATTGACAATAATAAATGACAATACTGCTAAACTACCAGTTAGTACTAGTACTAGCTTAAATTGTGAAAAAATATTTTATGTTGATATTACTTGCATAAAAACATTTAATATGTTGGTACCTTATGAACCCTTTTTTCCTCTCAGAAGGGTCTACGTGTGCCATGGGGGAAAAAAAAGGTGCCGAGCACTGGGTTACTCAATAATCTACTCTTTCCAAATATCTAAATAACTTTTTAAAATAATTTTTTGTTTTGTTTAGATTCCAAAGTGTTATATCTAACTGATCACTTCCTTCACTTAGAGGTCCCAATATTTGACTACAATGATATAACAAAGAAATATTTTGCTTGACCAAAAAAACAACATCATTCAAAACCTTTGTAATTTGTATTGATGGACGGAGTAGATATGAATCGATGTTTGGCCAATCTTTCATTAAGTTGTATTAAAAGACAACATTATTGTCTGGAGTGATCGCCAAGTCACATACATATAGTGTTGTTGCCTCAAAAGCAGTTGGATTACAACATTTTTTTAAATTTCCCAAAAACTTTGTAAGAGTAGAAATAAACATAGGAATGCATGCGTGGGCTGTTACTGATTGATGGAAAAGAGCCTTGGTTGTGCATTTGATTTTTGTGATACCTCAACAAGAGCTCAGGCATATGGAGAAAATTCCACCACCACAAGAAGTTAAACAAATAAGATAGTTAAAGCTATGCTGAACATTTTGGGATGAACTCAGTCAATAATACAAGTAACTCACACAGATTTGTCGTGTTTTAAGTTGGGCATTTGATAATATTTCCAGACAATGACCATGTACATAAAGTCTAGAAAGAAGAACAAGATTCTTTCATTATATCACAACCAATCAAATTGTGTAAATTTGGGAATTAGTTCCACACAAGATTTTCCACAAATGTAAATTCTTTAAAAAAGAGATTACAGATCAACAGATTTCCTTGTCCCTAACAGCACCAGATCATTGACGTGGTGATACTTTCCTGACAAATATTATATATTGTTTACTGTTATTATTGCCCACTCCATAATGACCCAATGTTAAGTCATTTTGCAGAACATTTCCGTCCATAGTCCACTCTTGTTCTTCTGGTGTCAAATTGAACTGCGAAATACAAAATAAAAATCAAACATTAACTAAAAGGGAGCATGTCCGTTACTGAAGGGACCTGTCAGTTACTGTAAGGACATTTCAGTTACTGAAGAGACATTTCAAATACTGTAGGGATATGTCATTTACTTAAGGGACATTTCAAATACTGTAGGGAAATGTCAGTTATTGAAGGGGCATTTCAAATACTGTAAGGACATGTCAGTTACTGTAAGGAAATGTCAGTTATTGAAGGGACATGTCAGTTATTCTAGTCATCCACAATGTTCACATCCCAAATCCCAATGATGAGACTTTGGTTACATTAAATTATTATTATAGTTTGATCGCAATTTTAAAAATAATGCATGTCAGTGGGGTAGCAGAGACGGGGAAAGATTTCTACAAAACAATACTCTGCAGGTGACCTAAACTGCCACCCACACACCACCCCAGGGCGGACCACGCCCCCCACTGCCACTATTACTTCCAGCCCCACTGAAGCATGGTTGTAAAAACCAACCGCCATGTATTAAAGAACTCACCAGATGTTCGAAATCTTCCTTCAGTCCTATGATAGCTATATCAAGACGACAGTCAGCCTGAATGAATAGAAAACAAATTACAAGAGATTAATAAGTGGAAAATAAATAAACAATTATTTCATTTAATATATTACAGATTATGCCAATATAATACCATACTGCCTAGCAAGGACTTCAAAATCTACTTCAATTTACATTTTAAAGAAATCACGAATTTAAAAGTTAAGAATTGTATGACATTTTCCAATTTTTATTTATATTATATTATAAACTTAAACCTACTTGTTGGGTTGTGACTGTACCATGGTCAGCCGAAATCTCAACCTGGAATGTTATTTCGTAACATCCTCTGGCTTCAGCACTACCTGGTACTGGCGCCCATCCTGACATTTTTAAATCGAAGTCAGAGTAAGACGCTCTACGTCTCTAAAATAAGTCGATAGTAACTCGATAGGCCCAGTTAATAGTTTTAACTGCTGAACTGGTACTGTACTGCGCTGCAGTCACACACGTTTACTAGTACTACACTTATTAGAAACTAATCCTTTTCAAATATATTAATTTGTAGGCAGGTCTATTTATCTGACGATCATTTGAAATGAGTTTCCTATTACTCTTGCTCAGTCAACACCGTCAACTAATTGATTTAATCTTATTTATATTTTGGTAATTTGGTGAAACTTTTTTTTTACAAAATAGTTTTTCTTGGAAGACGACTTCTTACATAAACGTTAGATGGCTAAACTAAACGTAAATAACATTTTGGGAAAACCCCAAGCTGTTTATAGCAGGCCTGTGCATGTGGGTATTTTTTAATTTTTTTTTTTAATGCGTGGCCTAGCAGTTAAGATATTCTTGATTTCGATTGTGTAGGCAGTGTGTGTGGGAGAACGATCTTCACCCAGAGAACCGGCTTGGGACGAGGGGCGTCACTAGGGTTGGTGTCACCCGGTGCATAAACTACCTAAACTCATGGTGTCACCCCACCCCTCCGGACTTCTTACCCCCTCCCCCCAACCGACATGCACCGAGTTTTTCTTTACACAGAATCGCTTACAGCAGTGTATGTAAATTAAGTCCTCAATAAATAAAAGACATCCCAAGAACAAAAATAGAATTTAGAATAAAATGAGAAATTTACAAAGGGTAGAGAAAACCTTGGAGAAGGAAAATAACAGTTATTGCCCTTCTTCGGGTTTTCCTCTCCCCTTGGTATATTTCTTGACGGCTAATAACAAACTTAAATTTTTTTATTGCAACATTAAACTCGACAGTTAAAACTTTATTTTCCTGGTCTTCAAAGATGCAAACCTGTCAATCAAGTGATCAAACATTCTTCACTTTATCCATTACGCTTGACGAAATCGCAAGACCAGACAGCTTGAAGTCTTCTCTATGGTAGACCTATAATATTGCAAATACCGGGTATTTCTTTATATTTTAACTTTTGGAAAGCTCCGGCCACATGAAGCTGCAGGTCGTGAGAAATGAATGGGGGGGGGGGGCGGATTGTTGAAAGAATTGGAAGTTTATGGAAGTCACATTTAGCCATGACTTTCAAAACCTCAACTGTTGACCAATCGCCAGCTTAGTAGAAATAACAATCTGCTGCTTTCGTGCGCCTTCGCAACCTTAAATATTGCAATCAAAAGTTCACTTTCAGATAACTCATCACAGAAAAAGTTCACTTTCAGATAACTCATCACAGAAAAAGTTCACTTTCAGATAACTCATCACAGAAAAAGTTCACTTTCATATAACTCATCACAGAAAAAGTTCACTTTCATATAACCCATCACAGAAAAAGTTCACTTTCAGATAACTCATCACAGAAAAAGTTCACTTTCAGATAACTCATCACAGAAAAAGTTCACTTTCAGATAACTCATCACAGAAAAAGTTCACTTTCAGATAACTCATCACAGAAAAAGTTCACTTTCAGATAACCCATCACAGAAAAAGTTCACTTTCGGATAACTCATCACAGAAAAAGTTCACTTTCATATAACCCATCACAGAAAAAGTTCACTTTCAGATAACTCATCACAGAAAAAGTTCACTTTCAGATAACTCATCACAGAAAAAGTTCACTTTCATATAACCCATCACAGAAAAAGTTCACTTTCAGATAACTCATCACAGAAAAAGTTCACTTTCATATAACCCATCACAGAAAAAGTTCACTTTCAGATAACTCATCACAGAAAAAGTTCACTTTCATATAACTCATCACAGAAAAAGTTCACTTTCAGATAACCCATCACAGAAAAAATTCACTTTCATATAAATCATCACAGAAAAAGTTCACTTTCAGATAACCCATCACAGAAAAAATTCACTTTCAGATAACCCATCACAGAAAAAATTCACTTTCAGATAAATCATCACAGAAAAAGTTCACTTTCAGATAACCCATCACAGAAAAAATTCACTTTCAGATAAATCATCACAGAAAAAATTCACTTTCAGATAAATCATCACAGAAAAATTTCAGTTTGGGGACACCAGTCGTCAATATTAGCCTCTTACTCGTATCTGAAATAGCCTCACAAATATCTGCTACTTCCCTGATGGCTCTTGATCTGCTCGACCTCTTGTTTTCTTCTAGTATTTCTAGCTAAGTGAGCCTTTATTGTTTTCCTGCCAATTTCCTCTCTCTGCTGAAATTTCATAGATGTCTGATTTGTAAAAGTGTTTGTTCAAATTGTATGATCCACTATTTGATTTTGCTTCCCGCGCAGGAAAAAGACTTCGCGTTTCTACGTGGATAACCACTATGTCAAGAGTTAAACCCTTAGTCTGCAGGGTACTTGTGGGTAAGATTAACTGCCTCATGTATATCAGCCCAAAAGTAAAGGTAAGCAGGGAAACGGGAAGTCACAGGTTACAGACTGCATGCAAAAGATTTTTTGTTGTACCTCGTGTGTCCAAGACTTTGTACTTCGTGTGTCAAAGACTTTGTGCTGTACCTCGTGTGTCCAAGACTTTGGATTGTGCCTCGTGTGTCCAAGACTTTGTGCTGTACCTCGTGTGTCCAAGACTTTGTATTGTACCTCGTGTTTCCAAGACTTTGTATTGTACCTATTGTGTCCAAGACTTTGTGCTGTACCTCGTGTATCCAAGACTTTGTGCGGTACCTCTTTGGGTTTAAATTTTCATAAATTTTCATTTTCATAATTATTGTTATAATTTATTTAGTTTACGTTAGATTTTATTTTTTTAAATTATTTTTTGTTGGGTTTGGGGGGGGGGGCAATTTTCGGTCTACCACAATTATTATGTTGGATGTGTTCTCTGTATTTTTGTGCTTTTTATATATTTTTTCAGGGGTCACACGCTGAAAAACTCTGTCTATGCATTAAAACTTCTCCAATCTAGGCATTAACACTTCTCCTATCTAGGCATTAACACTTCTCCTGTCTACGAATTAACACTTCTCCTATCTAGGCACTAACACTTCTCCTATCTAGGCATTAACAATTTTCCTACCTAGGCATCAACACTTCTCCTATCTAGGCATTAACACTTCTCCTAGATACAGTTTAAAAAAAAACAAACTGAAAATGGTTGGACTTGAGGCAATGTGCCTTCAATATTTCAAAGTGGTAGAAGCTTGCAGTCTGACTGGTCTCAGCGGCAGTTATTATCCTTGGGTGGAATGGACTCGCCGATTGTTGGAAAAAAGTCACAGAAAAAGTCAATTATTCTAAGTGAGAAGAAAAAAAAACTGAACCATCGCAGTTCGATGCTAGCCGTCAGTGCCCCCCCCCCCCCCCGGAAGGGAGCCGCTAGGGGAGATGATGTAAAGCCGAATCCACGTAATGATCATAATACACCATCTGCCCTAGACACCATCTGCCCAAGACACCATCTGTCCAATACACCATCTGCCCAATACACCATCTGCCCCAATACACAATCTGCCCAATACACCATCTCCCCAATACACCATCAGCCCCCGATGATTCTTGTCCGTGTACCACATTAAATGTACTTCACCAGCATCAGGCATCTTCTCGAGATGTCCTGTCCAGCGCAGCCCGCCCTTTTAAATCGACGCGACTAGTACAACTGCTGCGTCTCTTGATCGGTTGTCATTCTCAGTTCATCATCTGACTGTACCGGCCACTGTACCGGCCACTGTACCGGCCACTGTACCGGCCTGCATACGATCCTGAGGTTAAGACTAGTGGGCAGCGTTTTTGGTTTTGTCGGTCAACGGAAACATCAGACAAAGCATCAAAAAAAACAACAAAAAAACGGAATAATTAAAATCTCGTTTGATACGTAACACATCCTTAGGATGCGTAGTTCAGAATGAAACATGAAATTCCCCTTATCTCGGTACACGGACTTTGGCCGTATGACTTACAATCCAAACACAGTTGGACGGTGAGTTAGTTTAAAACTTTGAGTTCCATCAGAAAAATGTGCTGCAAAGTTTAATTTCTTTTTCTTTCAGTACTTGACGTGTTACCTTTTGGTCACTGAGTCCCGTCTACTGACACGTTCTTTCAGGGGTACCTAAATGGTATGGGTTGGGCGGGGGGGGGGGGTGATGGGACCCCCAGAAACAATATTTTTTTTAATTCATACTTTCACATACCTTTTGCTTCATATTTAATTATTGCATCATCATACAAGTCTCCTCAATAACATTTTGACACTGATCTCACAACAAAATCAAGCGCCATCTGAACAGAAATCTGAAGATGCAAGCTTCACCGCCTTTAATGATAGAAACAGTGGACATGTTTTATCATTTAAACAATATTTTTTTTAATTCATACTTTCACATACCTTTTGCTTCATATTTAATTATTGCATCATCATACAAGTCTCCTCAATAACATTTTGCAGGGAGGCAACTACTATTATTTACATTTTTAAACCGTTTATTTCGTTTTTGCTTCCCCTGATTATTTTAAGACGACTTTCATAAGCGCTCGATCCCATGGGTTGAAAACTGAATTTAAAATTCGTATTTCAAATGCACACAGTACGGCTAATATGATTAAACAAAAAACATAATAAAAAAATGCAGCCCAACAGCTATAAAAACAAACTAAATTCTGTTTTGAAAACACACTGTAAAGAGATCATGTTGAGGACGTGTTCTAGTTACACCGCTGTAATGTAGTATGTAGCCACTACAAATGTCAACACAAAGTTTTAACTTGTACGTTCCTAGGCCTAGAACACCGAGATAATGTTATTTAGAAAACTGAGATAATGTTATTTAGAACACTGAGATAATGTTATTTAGAACACTGAGATAATGTTATTTAGAACCCTGAGATAATGTTACTTAGAACGCTGAGATAATGGTATTTAGAACACCGAGATAACGTTATTTAGAACACTGAGATAATGTTACTTAGAACACTGAGATAATGTTACTTAGAACACTTAGATAATGTTATTTATAACACTGAGATAATTTTATTTAGAACACTGAGATAATGTTACTTTGAGCACTGAGATAATGTTATTTAGAACACTGAGATAATGTTATTTAGAACACTGAGATAGGTTCACTCTACACTCCTAGGTTCACTGTACACTCCTAGGTTCACTCTACACACCTAGGTTTACTCTACACTCCTAGGTTCACTCTACACACCTAGGTTCACTCTACACACCTAGGTTCACTCTACAATCCTAGGTTCACTCTACACTCCTAGGTTCACTCTACACACTTAGGTTCACTCTACACTCCTAATTTCACTCT